ATGTCTCAATGTTAAGCTGTCAACAAATGTTATCACACGAGTTAATAATGAAATTGATGATACTCCTCCTTCACCATCATACAACATTAACAATAATATTAAATATCTATTGGGTGCTGATCTTGAGTATCGAACCTGAAACCTTTCGATCGAGCACACAATATTAAGTTTTATGTCACAGCTGCTAGCACTCTGAGCCATGCCATGGTAAGTCAAAAACATTGCTACAAAGTTAAAGGTAAAGAAATCTAACACAACAAGTCCCACACATGTGAATGAATGAATGAACAAACGAATGGAACGAAGCAACAAAAGAAATAGCTGATAAGCTAAAAATAGACATTTAAAAATTGTGGCTGGCGGCACAGTAGCTTATATTGTAAAAATGGGATGTGTTGTGGTTACATCTCTTCCGTTATGACAATGGAAAATGAGAAATAAAGTTAGAATCAAGTTAAATGGAATCAGTCGGTATTGCCGACAGCTGTATACCCTCAGCCAATATTTAAATATATTTTTACTTGTGTTATGATTATCAAAACTGTTGACCCTTCATGGGAGAGGTTCCCAGGGAGATGGCGAATATTTTCCATTTCGTATCTTACATAAGTCTGATAAAAATATTAAAACATATCATATTTAGATTTTATATCGACTACTTGCTTCACTTTAAATTAGATATTTCATAATATTTCGAAAAGTTCGCGTTTAATGAGAGTTATAATAATTTGAAATTTTGATTTGGTGGTACCAGAAAGAGTAGTCCGATTTTGTCCATCTTCAGAACACATCTTGTGTCGATAGAATTATTGGGATGTGCCGTGTTTGAAGGTAATCGGATGCTCATTTCGCGTGTTATGTGCTTAATAGTTATTCTAGATTTTGACCCTTTGTGGGGGAGGTACTAGAAGGATGGGTCCGTTCTTCATACCACGCCTGGTGTTAGTGGAAATATTGAAATGACAATTTTAAGATAATAGGTTTCTTAGTTAAAATTTTAAAAACGTTTGAATTATTGAAAATGTTGACCCTTTGCGGGGGCGGTACCAGAAAGAGTGGTCCGATCTCTACCATCACCAGATTTTGCTTCAGTAGAAGCATTGAGATGTATGAAATTTTAAAAGAATCGGATGTTCATTTCGCTTTTTACGAGCTTCTTGGTAATTCAAAATGTTGACCTTTGTGAGGGAGGTTCCAGAAGGTGTGGACCGAAATATACCATCTTCACACCAGACCGTGGGTTAATAAAAATATTGTGATGTGTGTAATTTGAAGAGAACCGGATGCTTATTTCGGATTTTATGATCGTTTTGGTTATTCAAAAATTTAACCCTTGGTGGGGGAGGTAACAGAAGGAATGTTCCGATGTCTACCATATTTATAACAGATCTTGTGTCGATAGAAATATCGAAATGTGACAAGTCTGAATGGAATCGGATGATAATTTCGTGTTTTATGAGCTTCATGGATATTCAAAATGCTCACCCTTTGTGGGAGAGGTACCAGAAGGAGTGTTCCGCTCTCTACCATCTTCAAACCAGACCATGGGTTAAAAAAAATATTGTGATATGTGTAATTTGAGGACAATCGGACTCATACATCACAATTTTAAGAGTTATAATTATTCAAAATTTTGATCCGTTGCGGGGGAGGTACTTGATGGAGTGGTCCAACATTGTGCATTTTCGCTCCTGAGCTAGCACTGATACAAATATTGGTATTTGCAAAGTTTGAGCAAAATTAGATTAATCTTTCTTTTTATTTTTAAAAATTTCGAGCTTTTATGGGGGAGGTACCATAAGGAGTGGACCTATATTGCCCTTCTCCGAACTCGATCTAAGTTTCACAATAATATTACGATGTACCAAGTTTGGACCAAATCGTATACTTCCTTCGAGTGTTATCCTGCGCAACAGCCAGACACACGGACGGGCGGACATCACTAGATCGACTCCAAATATCCTGAAAAGGGTTTGTTCCAGAGACCTAGGGTCTAAAACCGTTAATTCGATGAAGCAAATTTTGGCCGTATCAAATGCTATATACCTTCTCTAGCCATATGGCTGAGGGTATAAAAAGAGATTTCTATACAAATAGAAGGACCTTCAAAAACTTATTTACATAAGGTATACACTTCCCAATTATCTTAAAAATGTAGTTTTATTCGACATTCAACCATAAATGAGATTATGAATGCAAAATAAAAATCGAATAGAATGCGTAATATAAAATTTCGAAACATGAGTGCCAAGTCCATGGTAAAAAGGAATGTACAATTATTTTAAATAATCGACAAAATTCACCGGATAGAAAATAGGATCTCATATTTGACTTATGGATTTTTAAATATATATTTTGACAATGAAATGTCGTCAAAATAATTTCGAAATAATGTATACATATGATTGTATGACCACCTTTTTAATGAGAAACCTACATAGGGAAATTAATAAATGTCAAAGAGATGTTCATAAGTTCCAATTTTTATGAGGAAAAGCTTTCTGGAACTCAGAAAACCCTAAACCTATACTTTTGTAAAAATTGAATTTTGATATATTTTTAGTTCGCATTTAGTACCCTTTCTTCTAACGCGAAAAAAAAAATTCTAAATTGATAAGAAATACAAACAAAGCTGAATGCATTATTGCATAATTAAGACATTTAGAACAAAGTGTTTACTCTTTGCAAACACCTTGATAAGAAACCAACAAAATTCTAAATATGTGTGGAGAAAATTCTGATCATACGTTTGGTAAGGTTATGGTATTTGCAAATAAAAACAATTATCTAGAAGTTTATTAAAAAAAAACATGCTACCATTGTATTTCACTTTTATCAGCTCCATACAATGTTTTGAAACCGCATTTAGAAAACCTCAATCAATTGATACATTTAGTGGTTGTATGACATGTGATGTCTTAATCTGGGTAAGTATTGCAAAAAATTCAAACAAACGCACAGACAAAATTTATTATTAATTCATATTTATTTTACTTAGACAAAATAATAACAATGAGATGAGTTAACAAATATGTAGGGAAACCAAATAAGAAACCTTAATTTTTATTAATTAGCAATGCCAAATAATTAAAACAATATTGAGTTGTGACCACACAAAACATTTATTATTGCTACTTCTATTTTGCGACCATACTCTACAGGGTGAGAAGAGAAAACTGCAACCAACTTCAGACTGCTGTCATTTCTAAGCCACTCGTCCGACAGCTATTAAAATTATTCCAATGACAGCTCATAATATTGTTTACAAGCGTACAAAAGCATTTTGGTGAGAATTTTCCACAAAAAAGTTATTCGTGATGGAATTCTGGCGTGATAGTCTGATTTCTTTATATTTGGATGGAAAACCACAAGTGGCTATCTTAAGAGCACTCCAGTATTTAAATGTGAATAAATCTTTGTGTGCCTTGGGCACGCAAACATTTTGGCCGCAGACCTTGGACATTCCAACAGGACTCAGTACCATTGCACTCAGCACGCGCCACCCAAGAATGGTTACAAAATGAGGTTCCTTACTTCATTTCCAGCGCACAAAAGCCACCAAAATCTCCGAATACCAATCCGTTGGACTATTGTGTCTGTAGTATTTTCTAAAGCAAGGTTCGCACTAAAAAATAAAAAAAAGTGTCGATCACCTCAAGCAAGCGCTTCGCCGGGAATGGGCAAAAATACCGAAGAGCAACATTCGGGCAGCGTGTGACGGTTTCATTGGCCGTTTGAAGCCCCTAATTCGTGCCAAAGGTGACCAATTCGCACAAATATAAACTTATTCTAAAATGTGATTCTATTTCCGACATTGTTTGTTTTCATTCAATAAAATTGAAAATAATTAAAAATTATGACGTTTGACTTTGTTGCGGTTTTTTATGTCAGCCTGTACTTCTTCAATCAAAAAAAGGTTGGCAATAAATTTCATTTAAAATCTGGGTGGCCAGTGGTTCAAACAATCGCTATAAATGTAACTGTTTTATTCTTTCCATGGCTTGACTATCCAGAATGTTCATCGTAAAGCTTCTAACGTTCAGGACGGACCAAAGTCGTCTGAACAAAATGGCTGCAGTTATGGTGTCCATGAAACGCTTAAGCTTAAAAACCCACTCCTCATGCTGGAATACGAATGTTATCTTCTGGGACGTTCGCAGGTGTCCTTCAAGAGTTGTTACTTTTGCGACATTCTACTTCTTACATGGATAAGTACATTTTTCCTCATTAAACACCCTCGAAAGGTTTTCGAGGTGTGTTGCCATGAACCTACCTATATTGATTTGGTTTTTTTTTTAATTCATTTAAAACAACGGACCACTCTCAGTTTAATTTATACTTCTGCAGTGATATATGAATATTTGTGCATCTTCTATAAAATACGAACGTTTCAATGTAAAAATATAGTTGCAATGAGTTCAGAAAACACAATCGGATTTCTCAATATGGAGGAGCCTCTCAGTATGCAGATTCAAATTGGATTTGATCTTATGACTCTCAAGCCAATATAAGCAAACTTCAAATATGATGACCCTAGATTCATAGGAAACAATTCGTAAAAAATTGCTGGCCCTTTTATAGATCTGAGCAATGTTTTATGATTTGTTCGGACTTGACCTAGTTTCGCAATAGCAATTTCTCAGCATGCAACACAATAGCTCGGTAACAAAAACTAATTCTTTAACGTGCATTTCAATCCTAAATACTATTTCGTCTGATATTATATTCCACAAATAGTATCATTTCCACCAACATATTATTACGTTGGCTGGATGTAATGGAGGAGACACGTAAAAAAAGCTCAAGAAACCCACAAAAAACGTGCACCCAAAAAAACGAGAAAAAGAAATGCAACGAAAGCAGACACATAAAATGATATTTACTTGGTCTGTACATATATCAACGATTGTGTGTGTGTCTATATATGTACAATCTGTGAGAAAAATGCACAGATGAAAACTAGAAAACTTATGGACGAACTTCGTCTGGAATTCACTTACCACGACAAGATAATTTTCACAGCACTGATAATTAAATGCAAATATTATTTTTGTTTTGTTGTTGTTGTTGTAATCTTAAGTAAGCAATGCACAAATCAAATTCATCCTTCAGAATTCACAAAACGAAGCAATCACAAATTGAAACGCAATTTTGAATGCGTTTCCTATTCTTTGATTTTCTCACAATTTGTTGCTCTCTTTTTATTTTTTTATTAATACATTTAATATGTCATTGGAAAAACTTGTTCATTCATTAATTTTATTTGTTTATTTATTATTTTGTTTATTAAGTTAATCCCACATCCGCGACTACCGAACCGCACGTCTCCGACTTAAAAAACAAATAACAAATATTTTTTTGTTTTGTTTATGATTTCCCAGGTAGGTCTCTCTCTCTCGCTCTCTTCAGTGGTTATCGGTTATGTCAGACGTCGGCGTTAGAACACAATTTAGACGCATGGCGTTTTCTTCATTTTTTCATAGTTTTTTTTTTTTTGTGTCAAACATGGTAGAAGAATACAGGTAAACGCATCGATACAGCTGCTGGGACAACGAACTGTCAAACAAATTTCGCAATTGATTGAAAAACTATTCAAATTTTTAAAAATTGCATATAACAATAACACCAAATTGACGTTGTATAAGAAAAAATATAAAAATCTACTTATATTTGAAAAAACATTTTAAAATTGTTGACATATCAATATTCCCAAGCGTTGATGCATCTACCTATATTCTTCTACCATGATAAATGCTCTGTTCAGAATCTGCAAGAATCTACTATTTTTGCACTTTTTTGCGATATCATGAAAGGAAAATCGGTTATCGTAGTAAAAACTTTTACATTCTTGAACAGGTTGATTGAATTTTAAAAATGCAAAATATAAATTAAAATTCCAACAGAATTTGAATATTTTCAAACTGTTTTAGCATAACAATGTTACCATAAGAAAAATTATATTAAGAGATTTCTATGGACTATCTTGTAAATTATTTTACCATGGGGGTAAGCACGCACAGTATAATAAATACATGTTGAGTAATGTTCTGTTCCAGTACCTGAAAGAATCTACTAGTTTTGCAATTGTTTGCGATACCAAAAAGGGAAAATCGGTTATCGGAGCATAAACTTTTACATTCTTGTACTTCTGGAACAGACCATAATTTGTAAAAAAAGATACCCATTATCATTTGGCCTGATCCAGAACTGCAAGAATTTACAATTTTTTACAACGATAATCGATTTTCCCTTTATGATATCGAAAAAATCTTTTGTAACTAAGAACTATTTTGTCTCGACCAAAGTGATGTTCGTTGGGTTAAATGATTTTCAATTTAATTTGCAAGCATTATTTTCCAGCTATTTATTTTATTTTCATTTATAAAATGAATAATAAAATCAAAACTACATGCCAACATAAATATAAACAAAGCAAATATGAAAAATCATGCATTACATCTAAGGTTTAAACAACTCCTGCAATAAATAGAAATTGATGTTGTTTCTTTGCTGATAGCGTTTGTTGTGTTTTTGCCAATCGCTTTTTATGCGCTTCCATTTGCCTAAATGTTCTCCCAATATCTCTGATTTACTGGCGTATTTTGTTGGATCGTCGGGTGTTACCAAATCCTCATGGGCGCTATATCTTTTGGGCTCCTGTTGTGGTGCTATTTTTGGCAAGTCAGTTTCTTTGGGCTTTGGCAAACTTGTCACCTCCTTGATATAGCCTTTTCTCAGTTGTGTCACCAATTCCAAACCATTATCTTCGCGGTGGGCTGGTGATGGAGATCGGGTTTCACGATAACTTGGTATATTCGGATTACGTGGCTGATTAGCCATCCATGCCCGGCATATGGGATAGAGGGCAGTTTGTTCGGTATATTTTGATAGATCTAAGGTGCGATCGAATAGTTTCATAACAAATGATTCAGCTTGTATTTTATTGTGTCCCGTTGATGTGGCCAAATCACGGCGACGTCTCTTGCTGGGTGTTGTAGGCGGGGGAGAATATTTTTGTACATTTTCTTGTATGGGCTTTTTACGTGGACGGCCTCGTTGTTTGGCCACTGGCCGTTGTGGCTCCTCTTCAGGCTGATATTCCTCCTCCTGTCCATCTTCTTCTTCCTCTTCGTAGGAAGACGGTATGTCGTCCACTTCTTGATTGTGTAAACTTTCATGTGAGGCACTTCGCAAACGAATCTTTTCCACCTCAGCCTGTTGTTTTCGTTTTTGTGGCGGTGTCTTCATCTTGAATTGAATCCTTCTGTAAAAAAGATGAAAGAAATTGTTTTAAAATTATTGATTGAGTTTCAGAAAATAATCCACTAAGGATTTTGATTTAAACGAACCAACCCGACGATACCTTTTGAACTGAAGCTGCCACTTTCTTTAAGGAAATGGATGTGACTTCTGGCCAATATAGTATTTTTTGGAATATATCAATTTAAATTGATAACAGCAATAATTGAGAAATTAATATTTCCAATAAATATGTCAATAATAATTATTTTTTAGATTTTTTAGAAATTCAAAGAGTCCCAAAGCTACCCCACACTCACAGACAGTACTTGGTTACAAAGCTGCTCACAAAAACTAACGCCGTCACTATAGGGTTATGCAGATCGATAACGGGTGGTCTTAGTTTCAGGGGTTTAAATGTGTATTTGTCCGGTAAAACCGCCAATTATTAGAGTTAAGAATTTGAGCAAATTATCAATCCCTGTTATGGCTGTCTATAGGAAATACTGCATCTAATAGCGCAAGAATTGTAATGCTTCTTTCTATTTTGAGGTTTTTGTAAAGAAAACGTTCGTTCCAAGTAAAGTGATAGCTCATCTTACTTGATGTTTTGAGACACACTGTGCTTGGGGGCACATATATGTGTTGTATAGAATATAATGGAGTTAGTATCCACGTCTAAGACTTGCAGGAGTGAATCCATTAAAATTGTCAACTTTATGACAAATTTTAATTGTTTCATTGTTCGTCTTACTGGAATTCACATTGAAATATGTTCCCACAGGGTAACACACAATACTACAAACTGATTTGTAATAATTAGTACTTTCAATTTTACAATAAAATTTATACATATTCTCTCCATGTAAATGTAGTTTTATCAAATGCAAGAAAATCTAGACTGACTCGAAAACAGACTTAATTTTGAATGACGGGAGAATTGATACATGGAGAAAACCATGTAAATCCCCAATGTAGTTCATACGCTACATGGCAGTTTTTCTTTATTACTATGGTTATTTGGTATGCCGTAATTAATATTTTATTAATTTAAAAAGCAATAAATAAAGTTTTCCATTTAATTTTTAACAAATACTCTGTATTTTGTTAATTGAAATTCTTGGGTTTCTTTGTGGAGAATAAAATATTTTGTTTTGCCTTAGAAAATTAGAATAATTTTAGTAAAATCTAAAAAATAAAATATTAATTTAGCTCACTTATAAATAAGACAGGTCAGGTTTTCTTTTTTGCTTTTGCGAAACACTTGGCAATTATTTTTCTGAAGCAAAGTGCATAAATAACAAGCGGTGCTAAAAAGTTTGCCCCTTCCATAGCACTCATCGAGTAATACCACGCTCGAAGACGACAAACAAACGAATGAATGAAGGAAAATCAACGGAGATCATCAACGGTTATTTAATAAAATAGTAGTAGAATAATTCCATCCGTCCACGTCCACAAATTAAACAATATCTCGGGGAGCACTCAAAAAGTGTACAGTATTGGAAACTTGATGGGTAATTTCACTAAGTGTTTCTTTGTGAACACCGCCGAATAATATCAATTCACCATGACCCGGTACCATTGTTGATAGTATTAGTCGTTCCGGGGCACCGGGTATGACACCATAATTCTTATACTCTAACCATTCTATATAGGGTTCTGTTGTTTCGGATAAGGCATTCGATAGATCACATACAAACAACGACAAGACATTGCGTTTTGCCCTTTTGGGTGATGGCTCTTTGATAACTTTCTGCTCGACCATGGCACTGCGTCTGGAGTTGCGTAAAGCATTCATTTTCTCCTCCATGCGCCGAATACGTTCATTGTGATCCTTCGAAAGGGATCGTGGACGGTTTTGTACATTAAAGGCAGCCATGCGGAATTGATCCTCGTACAGTTCATCGAATCTTTTGGGCAGTAAAGGCTCGTTTTCTCGGCATCTCAGGGCCAGGTTACGTTGCAGACGATTTGCCGCCTCCTGATCTAAGCCTCCGCCATTGGCCTCATTATCTTGATGCTGATGAGAGCCATTAAAGCGTGGCGACGATCCAGCCGATGTTGAGGGCCGATTTTGATTTCTCTCCTCTGGTGAGGGAGCCTGATGCAAATCTCTTAAACTACCATAGCGGGGTTGTAAATTATGAATGTTGTTGTGATTATTGACGAAATTATTGTTATTGGCATTTTGCTGGTGTTGATTGAGAATGGCTCTTCTTTGGGCAAAATAGTGATCATCGGGACCATCACGTGGTATATTTCCCTGACCAGCACCTGGCCTCCTTTGGTTTTCCAAACGATTGTGATTTACGGCGGGTATTCTAACGGCTCCACCACCATCTAACATCGCTCTGGGTCTGTGTCTGTCCAAGGGGTTATTATGATTATTGTGACCCAAACCTCCACCAGGCCGTGGGGCAGCATGACCACCGCCCACTGGCACTCGAGCTTGTTTCATTAGTTGGAAATCTTGAGGCATATTGGGCGTGGGTCCTAACACAACCAATTTCGAATCAATTTTACAGGCAGGATTGCACCACATATGTGAGGCGGCATATTTTTTGTTACGCACCGGTATGGATTTCCATTGCCACAAATCCCTGGACATATCCAGAAGCCAGGCATCGGAGTACACACTGTTCGGCCCACCACAACCTCCTACCACCAGCAAATGTTTATCATCTAAGACCAATTGGAATTGTCCATAACGGGCTGGTGGTTTTAGAGTACCCAAAAATGTGGGTTGCCACCAGCGATGTTCCGCCAGGTCCAAACACCAGGTTTCGTTGGAATTTGAATTGACACCTTCAATGATTTGATAACCACCAAATATGACCATTATATCACCATGAACACTCGCCGAGTGACCAGCCAGTGGAGGAGGGCTGGTCATTGTGAGGGCCACAGACCAACGATTGGTCAACAAATCGTAATAATGCAGCTCGTCGAACAGACACCACTGCTGATATGGCGGATGCAGCGAAGGGTAACGCCAACCACCAAATAAAACCAATTGTTCACGCCAACACACCATCGAGGCACTGCCTTTGGGTGACGGATATGAGCCCATGGACAATGGACGTTCCCAACGCATTTCCGACAAATCGAAACGCCACAAATCATTGAAAGTGGTATCTGAAGAACTGCCGCCACCAAATACATACATTGAATTTCCATGACGTACCGCAGAATGAGAAAATCTTCCAGCAATGATGGGCGTTGTGGGACTACCACAATTCGTGCCACCATTTTTGGCCTCTATAGAGGCGGCAGTTTGTTGGGAATACACTTGCCAGCTTAGGCGATAATCCACCAATCCCTTATGCAAATTGATTTTGGAGCGTCGTATTAAATCTGAAAACGAAAACGATGATTGGTTTTTTCCCAATAAGAAACTGCATAGTTACTTACTTTTTACAATGCCATTCCAACGTTTACACACCAATCGGCAATTTTCCAAATCCTTGTACGGCGGCAGGTAGGTTAATATAAATTCCAACATTTCATCGGGCAACATATTTACATGGTATTCTTCTTCGTCTTTGGCCACACAACAATTACCATCGTCAGTTCGGTCCGCCAGCTCTTTCTCATTTACAGTTTGGTTGGATTCATTAACTGATTCAGCAACGTTGTTGTCGTCACCGCTGCTGCTAGTGCTACCGTCCTCGTCATTGGTACTTTGTTTTTGCATTGTCGCCAGATTGACCTTGTCGTTTTGGCTGCATTGGCATTGATCCTTAACCTTCATTTTCGTCGTTGTATCATCGTCCATGATCTTAAAATAGCCTTGTTGAGTTTCTTGGCTGGCTGGCGCTGACTGACGTCTATTGTTGGTTTGTGTTATCCTCTTGCACGACGTTATTGGCCTGCAAAGTTTTTTTCCTTTGTTTTTCGCCTCTTTATTTTTCCCGTCGTCGCTGTCGCCGCCGTTTTTGTTGTAACTCTTGTTGTCTGGTATGTATGGTTTCTTTGGTCTCTTCTCCTTTTCATTGGCCGTATCGTGGTGTCCACTAGCTTTGTTCTTGCACTTACCACCTTTTCTTGTTATTGTATTTACAATTCAAGTGGTTTACACTTGATTTTCTATTACTTTGCTGTTCGTTTGCAGCCAATTTTACTTTTTTTTACAATATTTTCATTAGGGATAGGTAAGTCGTTTTTCGTTGCTTTTTCATTGCTCTACCAAGTCAGTCACCAGTATTGAGAGAACAAAGCTGAGCAAAGTTGCGGGCGGCGTCGGCGGCTTGAGTTGCCCAGAAATGTTGTCGTCGGTGAATAAAACAAAGTGAAAAATTTATTTTTAACATATAATTTATATTTAATTTATTTATAACGGCAACTAAATCGGACACTTCGATCTTATTTATCAAAGCTAGCTATTTGATAGGTTTAAAACAAAACAATTTAAAAACTTTCCAAGCGATACGAAAGGAAAGCTAATAAAATGGAAAGCTAAGAAATTAGTGATTCCTGTAGGGTTTTTGTTTACGAATGAGAATAATATATAATGTCTTGTTTACGAATGAGACTTGAGGGAAACTAGGTTACCTGCATGAATAGTAGAGGTTCTAAGATTTACACAGGTTTCTATAGTTATCAATTTGCAACTGAAAACTCTTTTCCCTGATAATTAATAACGCATTGAATTAGTAAACATATTTAAAATTGAATGAAATGAACTTAGTCATAAATCATTGTAAAATATGTCCCATAAGGGAGGTCTAGATCGATTTTAAACTAATTGTAATTATCGATAACAATCGAATGCATGTAAGAAGCAAGAGATAATGAAGGAACCAGCAAAGACGTAACGGAGTTTGAACAGCAAAATCATTTAAAACAGTTTCAAGAAAGGTTTTGCTTAAAGTTTACTAAGGAAAATTAAACCAGCAATTACCTTTGTATATTCCACTTTTCCCTGGATTACGGCGTTGTGATCGTTTCAAGAAACTTATGAAAATGGAGTTGAGGACTTATAATGGGAACTGCATCATTGTGCACAGACCAATTTTACTGTATTGTGATCTTAATATGAAATACCTAAGAGTTGAATTTAAGTTTGGAATTGCTGAGCTAGAGATCCATTGCGTGTATATTTCTTCATTAATAGCCATGAATATTAAAGAATTACGGACGCTGCTTCTCGCTTGAAAAGTTGATGTTTCTTCAGTGTCATGCTGCAAAATGTGCTCCGGAAACCCATAATGGGGCATATTTCCAACTGATTCTACAGCTGTGGTGAAATGTTTCCTAGTGATATCCAAAATCCAAGCTCAATGTAGGAACGACCGTAGACTTGAAAGAGTGCCAGAATGTAACTCCCGAAGTGTTGTTTCCGATTTAGTACTCATCATAGAGAATTTCAATAACTTGGAAAATAGGTAATCGTATCATTTCTTGCACGACCAGACATGTTTTCCAAAAATTTGGTAAATTTCTTTTTGTAGAAATATTTCTTCTTTGAGCTCATTCCGTTTAGCACTCCTCTTCTCAAGAAACCATCACGAACTGATGATTATCGTCATGGGAATACTTCAATTGCGATTTAGAATTGGAAACCGATTCGGCTACATTTTGCTACTATTGAAAAGTAAAAATGTTTTCCAACTGAAATTGGATATAGTTTGGGTTGGAGAGCCTAAGAATGAAAAATGACAACATCGAAGGTAGCCGCTCTCGGACTTTCTGACCGAAAAGATTTTTTCTCCTAGAGCCTAAAAATATGCTTTACAAATACCAAGTTAACTTGGAAATACTGAACAATTGAAAAATCGTTTCCTGACCAACAATTTTGCAATTTTTAACAGATAATTTCGGATTTTAGAGAAAAGTACTTTAAAGCTTATTTGCCTGAAGCCATTTCAAAATCTTAAACCTAGGTATTTCAACTCCCACTCAATTTCCCTCACCATTACCATGTGAAATAAAACACTGATTTGTTTTTGTTTTAACTTCTGACGATTTTTCTAAGATGTTATTTGTTTGAAGATAATATTTGATTCACAATTCATATTAGTTGTTGACTTTTGGAATTTTTTTTGGAAATAAAACATGTCTTTTGTTTACTTCTTTAAATACAATTAGCTTACAATTATAAAGTATGGGAAGATTAAGTTTTGTTTTTTTTTTCTTTTTCCTTAACATTTAGGCTACATTCAATTAAGATTAGCGCATACAGCTTCTTGCAATTATTCCAAGCCAGTATTTCTTTTTGTTATGTTAAATAGAGTAGTTGTTGTAGTATAAATTGGGCGGAAGGAATTCAGAGGTATGGAATTCCTTTAGACCACACCATAAATATTCATCATCATTTTATGAAAATCAAAAAAAAAAAGTTATATAAAAAAGGAACACAAAATGAATGCCGGACAAACATTCATTTCGTGTTGTATACAAGTTATTATGTATAGTATAAGATTGTATAAAATTGGTACATTTAGTAATAAGAATAATATATATTGAGTAGGTTGTTCATTGGTTTTTTTCATGATTTGCTTGCTGTTTTTTTGTTATTATGTTTAAATATAGAGTTTTGATAAAGTACTTTCTTTTTAGGTTTTTTTAATAAGTTTATTTTTTATGCATGCATAAATTGATTTTTTTTTGTATTTGAATTGTTTTCGTATATGAAGAAGAATAATGTTTGTTTGTTTTAAGAGTATAAGAAAAATTGTATTAAATCTTGTTGTTGTTGTGTAAATGACTACATATTTTTGTTTATTCTTTCTTTCTTGTATAATCTTGTGGGTTATTTTACTTGGGGTAGAGCGATTAGTTTCCGTTTTTTTGTGTTGTTTAAATGCAACTTTGATTCATACATTTCCAGATGTTTGATGTTGTTGTTTGGTTATAGAGTTGTGGTACTAATGTGCCTCCTCCACATATCTTTTTGTGCATATGCGCCACATTTTACTCGATCTTAAGCAATTCCACATCAAAGTGAAGGGTGGCATTTGGTGGAATGACACCGGGATGACCACGTGATCCGTAGGCATAATCGGGAGAGCAAATCAATTTAGCACGCTGGCCAAGGGACAATTGAGCCACGCCCTCGTCCCAGCCACGGATTACTTCGCCCCTGCCAATGGTGAACTTGAAGGGCTTGTTGCGATCCCTAGAAGAATCGAACTTGGTTCCGTTTTCCAAGGTACCGGTATAGTGAACAGACACTGTGTGGCCATTCTTGGGGAATGTGCTACCTGTAGTTGTTTGTTTGCGATGAGTTTTTTTTGTTTTTTCAATGTGTGGACAACATACACAAAAAAACACAAACGCAGTGGCAGCGCACGTACGCACACAAACAATACACATACAGAACAAACACAAGGAAGATAGGAAAAAATGCGAAAAATTAAGGTTAGTTTTTTGTACTCGATGATATGCATTTAATTTGCAATGAATTTTTTAAAACTATCAATTTATAACACAATAAGTTGACAAAACCTACCATCACCGGGAGAAATTGGCACAATTTGTACACCCATGTTGTTTCTTTTATGCTAAATGTTTAACACTTTAAACAAACGAATTACCGCACGCACGGCTTTTTGCAGAATCAAGTATCTATCCAAGTAATCAAGGTTGCCACATTTGGTGGATTTTACCAAAATCGGCAAGTTTTTTTTTCGGGGGGTTGGTAACTTGGCACAATTGCAATTATCACTTTTCAACAATCGATTAATCGAAAGTCGATTCTCTGTAACACAGAAAAAAAATCAAAACGAGTGGCCCGCTCACTAAAGTCTCTAGAAAAATGTGCTAGAAGGGGTTTTCTCTCAAATTTAATAAAAAAAAGCATTATTTAATACATAATATGCCCTACAAATATCAATTTGAGCGGGAAATGACGGCGATGACACTCAAATAATAGTTGGTCGGCGTCAGACGTCATTATTTTGTCGTACGTCCTGTCTTTATACCATGTTCCCATTGGCTGTAAATTAAGATACATTTTAAGTTAGAAAATTGAATTAATTAAAAAAATGAATATCATTAATATTCTTTGAAATATATGCATATACACAACTATATTTAATCTTCAACATTGTTAAATATATGATCAAATGTTCTTAAATTAAAAGGTGTGATTTGTTAGGCAAACCATGGTAGAAGAATAAAGGTAGTCGACAACGCTGCTAGGACAATGAACTGTCAAACCAAATTTTGAATTGAAAATGTTGAATGAAAAATTATTTAAATTTGTAAAAGTGGTTGAAAATGCGTATTTTAATAATCTCCAATGACTTGAAGCTTTTTATGTACTTGCACCTTAAGGCAGAGCTACCAGCCGATAAAGATATTAACTAGTTTGATTTTTTTTTGAAAAAATACAGGCAATTCATTCATTTTTCGTGCCACTTAACTCATATTAAAAAATAAATTAAATGCCTTAATTTGATTAATTCTGACAGGAACAGGGCATAGTTTCAGGGCTGTTTTTCTGTTGTTTTATTACATGCTTATTACAACGTATGTGTGGCCAGAATGTAACCTTTTTGTGATGAACTTAATCTATAGAGATAGGTGATTCTGAAAAGAAATCTTGAAGTTTATTTCAGCAGTCTCGTTTTTTGCTTATTTATTCAAATGTATTGCTACAAAACAGCTGACTGCATTTGTTGTGATGGTAATTCTGACATTATAATCCATACAGGTTGGTCTGTTTACTTGCAAATTTTTCTAAACTAGCCTACTTTGTCTACATTGTGGAAGGAAGAAAACCTCACTCTCCCGGAGGAAATTTTCGTGGACGTCAAGTAGAATTTTTTCGTGGGATATACAAAGAAAGATAGTCAAGTTAATCTTATCGAAACTATCGTTAAATAAAATCGATTTTAACTTGAAGCCGAAGGATATCGACTATGCTAACGGCCTCCACGATTTTATGGTAATATCAGGTTAATTTGACTAAAACCAGTAACAAAATGTCTATTTCTCAATGAAAAAGAAAAAAAAAGGAAGTTTACTCTACTAATATATATATTTTTATTATTTTTCTTTGTTGGCTAACAAAAAATATAAGTAGGGTTCTATAAATCGATAATTTACTAAAGTTGTATACATGAGGACATGATTAATTAAGATGAGAATACATAAAACCCTTTTTTGACTGCTGACTTCTTTGGAAAATAACAAAGGAGCGTAGGGCCAAAATCGAATATAGTCAACCTGAAACAACTTTGTTCCTCTACGAAGAATCCAGCCGAAAAATTAAGCCAGTCAAAAAAAGCTTTTTATGTACTCTCACCTTTAGATCTTCTTGTTTGCAGTTATTTAGTAGGAAATTTGAAATTCCGGACAGTGCAATATGAGCATTATAAATAATGTAATAAATATGAATATGAAGGACAGTTTGTTTGTAATTTTCATGCAAGATAATTAAACAGACTTACCCAATAGAACGTTTATAGTTTATCCGATTCAGTAAAACCAGTAGATTTACATTGCCAATATTCCATTGCTTTTACGTCAAATAAATCCTCATAAAGGAGGTTAACACGGCAAAAAGCTGTAATGTAAACATGCTGTAAGTATCTTGAAAATAAGGTCTGGAAATACAGAAGACGAAATGAAAAGAATCCGATGCTGCCAGATCGCCGTCTTTTTGGAATAAGAAGGGGTGCATTTCAACACATCCTTTGATACGATAATCTCTGACGGAGGTTTGGTCAACATTCTATTGATTTTTCGCCAAATACATCCTCATAAAGGGGGTTAATTCGGCAAAAAGCTCCAATGTAAACTTGTTACAAGTATCGATGGAAAGCTATGGAAATACAGGAGAAGACAAAAAAGAGTCCGATGCTGCCAGATCGCCGTCTTTCTGGAAAAAGAAGAGGTGCTTTGTGCCATATCCTTTGATACGATAATAATAATAATATCCTACAAAAGATTGCTGAGAGCTTGTCGTGCCAAATGTATTTCCAGGTTCCCAAAAACATTGCTTCTTCTTGATAACCACAAATGTTCGTTGTTTCAACGCGAAACAGAATCAAATTTCTCGCTTCGTTGAAGGCATATTATAAAGTTAAACGGCGTTAGAATTTCTTAGCGGCCTTTATAATTTGACATAAGAAAATGAAGCAAAGTGTTGACTGTGTTTCCGCCTTCCCGTCCCGGGTTTCATTCCTAGAAGATTTCCTGTCACTTCAATTAAAAATCATTTTCTTTTTTTAATATAATTTTGTGAATGTTTTTATTGTTGTTGTTTGTGTTTTTTTTGCATTTTTTTTCAATATTTTTGTTTTTCTTTTTCTTCAGTCATACAATTTAGCTAAATGGTAACTAAAAATAGAAACTTAACTAACAAGATGTTTGGAAAAAAATTTGATTGTTTTATAATAGTTTGCTTTTATCAAAATAAAATAAAAAAAGAAGAAGGGAAAAATTAACAAATCACTATATGTACATGGAAATAAAACTTAAGATAAAATAAAGAAATACTATATACAAAATTAAAAGAAATAAAATTTAAACTAAGAGAAGTAAAAAAAATTAACTAAAAATATTTTGAAAATAATTAAATTTAAGTAAATTAAAAAAATTATTAAAGAAAGCCTATTGCATTGCCCCCAGCGTTTTATTCCATTATTAACACCAACTTTATGTTGGTTGGAAAATCGAAGTTTTTTTTTTATAAATTATAATAAATTTTTTTTTTCAAATATTTTCTTTTTGTACATTTATTGGTGCATTAAAAAGTGCTTATTTAATGTTAAGTTATTTGTTTGTTTTTCAAAGATTTCCAATTTTTTTTGTTTTGAATTTTTATGTTTAATAAATTTTTAAGAGTCTCAGTCTTATGTATAATTAGGAAAAAAAATTAAAAATAAAAAAATTAAATTATTGAACACAGTTATTTTTTAAAAAATAATGAAAAAAATAATAATATTTTTAATAGGCTAATTTGTACATATTTTTCATTATTGTTTTGTTTTTTGTTTTTTTTACATATAATATTGTATTGCTAATTATTTGAGGTAGTTGGGTTTCTCTCGATGAGTTTTTTAAAACAAAAACTAATTAAAATTAACTAAAAGATTTTTAAAACAAATCACTGGCATACTTTTCTCTGTTTAATAACAAAAAGAAAACTATAATAATATAATTGTCTTGTTTTTTTTCTTTTTTGGGAATGTCAAATCATTGGCGGTGTCAAATTAGGTGTTGCCAATAACACCACATGGCAGTGTTTGGCAACACTTAAAATGATGTTGCCATTGATTTACTCCCCTTTTGATTAGATTACATGAGCTAGGTAAGTAATTTTGTTGTGTTTCTTTAATTCTATAGAATATTGAGCCTCTTTTCTGTTTTTGTTGTTGTTACTTAATTAGATTTTAGCTTAGTTTGAGCCCTTGTTATCAGTCTTTCAGTGGCTATAATAATATTAAGCAAGGGCTTAGCGCTAACATTTTGGGGCGTGAGGTGAGTGATAGTTATGGCATGGTTTTATGTTTCATTTCTTTTCCCAGTTATCTTAACCTTAAACAGCTAACCTATATCTAAAAGTTATTCCCTATTTTAGGAATTTTTTTAATTTTATATTTTTTTTGTTAAAATTTCTTGTCTTGTTTTAGGCACACGGTGATATTTTAATAATAACAAACGAATTTAAATCTTTCATATTTTTTTTGCTATTCTTATGTTCTTATCCTAATACGAAAAAAAGTGCAGTATTCCATTTGAATTTGAAGAAAATATTGTGCATTGAAAGAGAGAGAGTTGAAGAATATTTCCTATAAACAAAGTATTATTTTCCGCCCTTTTATTTTACATGGATCCATTTTGGATCTCTTGCTTTTTTAGGAATATACATTTTGTTGTTTAAAGTAAAGCTAATGTACCGACATGACGTTTTTCTCGTGGAAAACCGTGTTTCAAAAGGAAAATAATTAAAAAAAGAGAGAGAACAACAAAACTACGTTTAACGTCCCTGAAACTAAAACCTGAAAATAAAAAAACTCCTATTGCACTCTGGTTTAAAAAAAATAATAATTTACATAAAAGAAATGGCTCCTAGGAATTTGCAACATTTCTCCCCCAGGTTTTTAATAATAAATAATCACATGGCAACCCTATGTACCCACAAAACGCCATTGACCGTTATCTGTGTGGGCATGGAATTGCCAACCTTCTTAAACTATATTCACCTCTTTGCCAGCAGCTCCCCACATTGAAGGCAGAGTTGCCGTGCCGTGTTAAACTAACGCGAAGAGAATAATGCATCATAACATGTATCGGCCGCATATTGCCAAGCCATGGTCAGCATCAATCAGTCAGCTCTAACATCATCGATTATTACCTCACGCTTCAGTTTGGATTCATGAATGAAGCTATCATTTTCCGCCGTGGATTGTTGGCTGGCTGGCAATTTGGTGGACATAATAACGGATTTGTCATCACCATTGTTTGTGGTGGTGGGCGAGAAGGGTGATTCAGATCTGGGACGTCCCGAATCGACTGGGGTGTGGGCAGCTTTACGGGCCAATGACAAGTCCTCAACATGATCGTCTGCTTCACGTTCACGTTCCTCATTGCTACGCTCATGTTCTTCCTCTTCCTGCTCCCGTTCCAAATCTCTTTCACGTTCACGCTCGCGTTCCATTTCACGTTCCCTTTCCATTTCATGACGTTCCAGGAATTCCTGTTCCACAGCATTACGCATGTTGCCATATTTCAGCGAAAAGCTGTTGGGACTTGGTGAACGCACAGCATTACCATTTGGTCCCGGACTGGCTGACATGCGATTGGCAGCAGCATGGGCAGCTGCAGCCAAGGCCATGGCATGTAGGGCCTCTCGGCCGGCAATATCACCACCACGATTTTCCAAGGCCTGTTGCAAGAAGGCGGGGTCTAAAAGAGCGGCGGCTGGGTGTGGAATTGTGGCAGCCATGTGATGATGCTCAGAATTACGATGATGCTCCTTCATTTCCCGCTCCTCACGAGCCACCGCCTCATGCATGGCCGCAGCTGCTGCCTGACCATAACCATGGGCAAATGGAAATGCGGCCGGAGATTCAACATTACTGGGGCTACGTTTCATGGTACGATTCATGGGACGGCCAGTGGTAATGCCCAACTTCTTGACCTTATCGTATAGGGTACGAGAGGGAACGCCAAATTTACGAGAAGCTTGCAGAGCACTCATGCCATCGCGCACACACTGAATGGCGGACATAATGTCATTGCGTGTGTACTGCTTGTAACGCTTCCATTCGGGTTTTTGATTGCCATTGTTGCCAAAGTTATTCGAATAGTTGCCTTTTTGGTCGAAACTTTCATCTTCGAACGAGCGATCCGTGTAGGGCGAATGGGGTTCATCGGGATATTTTAACTGTAAAAAAAGAGAGGGAGGAAATTAGTATGACGTCATCAAGGAGAGAGAAAATCCAATAATTTTAAATTTTCAGAGAGAGATAGAGTAAAATCTGAAGTTTGTCAGAGAGAAAATTGACAAATTTTGAAATAGAAAAAAAAATCTCTTGACCGAGAAAAAGAAACGTCAAAAATCGAAAAACAATCTCTTACCTTATCATTACTGTAATCGGAACCATTGAAACTGTGATTGCCATTGCCCTTTTCCATGCTGCTGGGTGTGGAGCTCATTTTCTCACCCTTGCCACCCGAGGTAGGCATCATGAGGGGCATTGGCTGCGAGGAGTCAGCGGGATTTGCCTGAGCCAAAACGTTGCGTAAAATTGGAGTATCACGATTCATGAGCATCGAAGAGATTGAGGAAAGTTTCTTGCGTTTCAGGGGATTCATGTCGGGTGCAGATTCATAGACAGAACTCAACATAGCAGCGGCCGCAGCAGCCGATGGTGACATGGCCCATTGTCCTGAACGTTCCGAAGCCGAGGCATTGTTGTTGTTGTTGTTGTGAGTGGGTGTCTGTTGGGTCGATTGGGCGGGTGAGTTGTTATTTGATTGATTTGCAGCCGGAGATTTGCTGTACAGACTGGTATAGGGAGATTTGTAATTACTATAGGGCGGTGAGGAGGATGAGGACGGCGCAGCCGAGGGTGAAATATTCGATGAGGTAGAGATCACGGAGGAGGAATTGTGATGATAATTTTCATTATCATTGTGTTTGGTGGTTTGTTGCGGGGTTGCCGCCGACGATGTGCTCACCGAAGAGTAGGGATTACTAGGTGCCGATGTATTGGCATAGGGATTATTGGCTGTGCGTTCGGCATGTTCTTCGCTTAGCTTGTGGAATTTCTCCTTTAAATCGGCCATATCGAACAGGCCCTTGACCTCCAACTCTTCGGCAATGCGCATAATTTTGGGTATTTGACTTTGGGTGACATTCACCTCTCCCGTATACATATACTCCAAGAGGGCACGCATTTCAAAGGCCTTAACGCCGGGGAATATTATGCTACAGTGGTCCATGGGCATATCCTGCAGTATGGATTGGAAATATGGTGAATTGGCAGCCAAAACCACACGATGGGCCTTGAATTGTACCTGATCATCGACCACAATGGTACAGTCGACATAGCTCTCCACCTTGATGAGGGCATCGAGAATTTCAATTAAATTTGATTTGTGATTATTCCAGCGCAAACAGTATGTCTGGCCCTCGGGATGGCCCGATGATGATGTGGCGGGATTAGAGGTAGCTGGTGGACCACCCATGTTGTTGTGGCTGCTGCTCGAACGGCTGTGGGGTGTGGGCGATGTCGATCTCAGATCGTTGCCGCTGGGAAAATCCTCGGGTGGGAAATTACCAAAAGCTTGATGGGCAAATTGTTTGCGAATTTTGAGAGCCAGTTTTGCGGAATTTATTTATTCACTGATTTTAGAAAATAAGGGCTAAAAAGAAACAGAGAAAAAACAGAAAATTAATAAAATTTTGCAAAACAAAACATAACCTTAAAATAGTTTTGAAATGAAAAAAGAAATTTGCATAAATTTTTGCTGTACATTTTAAAATTTCCAAACATAATAAAATGTGTATATGTGTGTTTTTTATGTGCTGGTCCTGAAACATCCCCCAAACCATGGCGATAAACTTTGGCAGGCAATTTTTTTGCCGCCTTTGTTTTGTTTTCAGCTTTCGCTTCCTTGTTGTTTTGTTTTTTTTTTGCTGTATTTTTTTGGGCAAAATAAGCACGTTTTTATGCCATAAAAAAGTGGGGGTAGATTTCTTTAGAATTCCATGTCCTGTTCGCTTTCACTTTTTGGGGTGAGTTTTGTGCGTATTTTTTTAAAGCAGGTTGGTTATACCAAAAAATTTGGCTACTTAAACACGAGCGCCACTCGCACACATTAAATGGAGTACATATTTGCCAAATGTGTGTGAGTGTGTGCGTTAATGATTTCTCAAGAGCTGCTTACTCAAATGACAAGGCCGCCATATGTTCAAGAATGATGGACATGAAATTCCAATTAAAAAAAAAAAAACCTTTTTTGCCCTTAATTTTTTTGTAACTGCATGGCCACCCTATTTGTCATTAAACGAAAGAGAGCTGCATTTGCAATTGCATTGTTATTGGTTTTGCATTTGCTCTTGCACGCTCTCCCTCATATCTCAAGTGTGCCGTTAATATTGTTGCCACCGCCATGCCATATGTTAACCATATTTTGTTCCTTTTTTTGAAGAAATGCCTGCAAATATGCCATGTGAGCATTAAAAAGTGCATGAAAATGCATTCTCACAACACATGCCATGCTCAGCAGGGGCGTAACTCAGTGGCAATTTTTTTTGAAGTTATTTTTAGAAATGTTTATCAAAAATATGGCGCCCAGAAGACCGCAAAAACTGGCAGGCAGACATGTGGTGGTGATCGGTAAAGGCAAAAAGAACATTTCCGGGAAGAGAAAGGATAAGCGATCTTTTTTGGCAATTTTAAAATTGTTTTCACATTCCCAATTTTGATAGAATACGTTAAGAATCAAAAACCTCAAAAATTTTCATTTTCTTTTAAAATTTGGGTAATTTTTTCAAATAATACCAAGTAAATCTTCTACATAAGGGCGTAAACGTATTATAACTTTAAAAAAATAGTTGAGAAATGTCAAGGTTTTGCCAATTTATGATAAGTTAGGTTAGGTATTAGAAGAAGAATATCACATTTTTTTTTAAATTCTCTTTGAAAAGCTACAACTTTGCCTCTAAATTTTATATTTTTCGAAATTTTAAGGTAATTTTTGTCAAAAAATTCCAATTATTTTTTTTTTGCCGGGCTAAACTACTCCAGAAAGAATTTAAACGTACTATAAATTTAGAAAATATTTGGGAAATGTAAAGTTTTTGACAAATTATAATAAGTGAGGTTAGGTTTTCTTTGTGAAAAGCTAATACTTTGCCTTTAAATTAGTCGATATGATTTATTATGTCTGATTTATGATTTATCTTGTCAAAATGTTTTATTTTTGAGATTTTTGCCAGATTAAACTCCTTCAGATTTAGAACATAGATGATAAAACACAAAATTTTGCCAATTTATGACAAGTGAGGTTAGGTTTTGGCAGGAAAATACCACGTTTCGGCAATTTCTTTATAAAAATATATAAATTTATCTCCAAATTTTTAAAGGTTTTAAAATGAAAATATGCTTTTTTGGCATTATATTCAAATTAGTATTAAGAAAATAGTTTTGAAATGAGATTTTTTTTTTAAATTTTAGGCGATTTATTGAATTTGAGGTTAAGTTAGATTACTGGAAGGTAGGAGGAACTTAAGTTAAAAAAATGCAATTTATGGCAATATTTTTATAGATTTCAAGGAGAATTGTTCCAATTTTAAGAAAACTGTTTAAATTTTTTTTCCTGTTTTAGTGAATTTTTACCAAAAATTGAGGTTAGATTATATCAAGAAAATCTCAAGTTTTGACAATTGCTTTATGAAATGATCCAAATTTGCCTCCAAATATTGAAAAAAAAAGGAAATGATTTTTAAAAAATTGTTTGAAAAAGTGATATTTTTGTAAATTTTGAGCGATTTGTTGAAAGTGAGGATAGGTTAATGGCAAGTATTCACAATTTGATGATCAGTTCTTCTGAAAAACTATTTAAAATATTCAAAAAAAGTTTAAATTTTCTAAAAATCTTCGGGGTTTGGGCTAAAAATTAACAGACACTTTTTGAATCAAATGTTTTATTCAGAGGCCATTAACCGTTTTCCCTTCTTCTCATTTCCAAATTTTCAAATAAAATCCATTGAATTTAATATGAAGCATTTCAAAATACAATTCAATAAAATTATAAATATTTCAAAATTCTTAGATTTTTGTGGTTTTTTTGGATCTTATGTTTTTTTCCGAGGCCATTAACCTCTCTCCCTCCTTCTCATTTTCAAATTTTCCAATAAAATCCATTAAATTTGACATCATAATGGATTCTAAATTCAATTTTTGCAATTCTTTACAAATATTTACACATCTTTCCTTTTTGCAAAATATCGAATTTCAATAGAAAAACCAAGAAATATTTGCCATTTCAAAGAATGTAAATGATATGACCCTAGAAAAGAAAAATATTGGACGACGAAAAGAAGATTTCACTTTCAAAAATTTTTGGCGATCATTTGTTCTTTTCCTCCACCCCTGGAATATGACAAAGAAGAAAAGGCTGACAGCATTATTAATGGCCTGACAATGATGACGATAGAGATCAACCTGCCTGCCAGCCTGCAACCTTGCAGCAAATCGGCCTCTATTGTGCAATTTTTATTATTTATTGAAAAAGATTGAAAAGTAGGGAAATCTCATCAGGGGATAAATTTCGTTTCTTTCTTTCTTTCAATTCTCAATTTTTGACAAAAGATAAGAGATTTTTTCTTTACTCTGACGCCATGAAACAAAAGAAAAAGGAAACCCTGTGGTGCGTAGTCATCCAGCCAGCCAGCAAACAAAAACTGCATTATTGATAAGGACAGGTTGCTTGGGCAATTGGAAATGTGGGAACCCGGAGCAGGTAGGCAGGCAAGCAAGCAAGCAGTGGTGCAACAATTGGACACACACACACATTTGAGTTTTGAAAAATGACACAATTTTGTTACAAAAGGAGTCAATAATTTTTAAGTCTTTGTCCACATAAGGGGATTAGTTACAAAGAAGAAAGGAAGAAAGAAAATTGGTAGCCCAAAAAGTCAAAAAATGTTAACACCTTAAGGAAATCATTAATCCCCCAACAAATTACAACATTTGGCAACCCTACAAAACAAATGAGAGGAAGAGAGCAATAAACGTCAAAAAAAGCTGCAATAACACAACGATCAGCATTTGATAATTGATTTTTATTTGAATCTCTTTCTCTCTCTCTTTCCCTCTCTTCCTCTTTGCATAAATTGTATTACAAAAAGCTTTTCGTGTATCAAAGCTCCATATTGCAGTTTTATCACCAAAGCTTCTGTTTACATTTGAATGCAAAACACGCTGGTTTTGTTATGAATATCGTTTTTGGGGAGTAGCCAAACTTGCCGAAGGTTATTTCTATTTTGGTTGTGGGTATGGAAAATCGAAAAAAATCACATTGCGAGAGGGAGCGAGCCAGCGCCATACGTGTCAAATTTGTAATGACTTGGATTTTGCTGTAACTTAAACCGGTTGTGTGGCGAAATTTTTTGGTGTATTTTTTTCATTACAACAAAGCCTGTCTAGATTTACATTGTTGTAAATGCAAAGAGCATTTTCAAGGTTTCAAAAATTTTGTGGTCTGGCTTAGCTTGATTCGTAAAAGGGCCAATCAAGGTAGCAAATTGAAGTTATACCGAATTGAATTGAATTTGTAATAATAAACGAGAATATTTATGCATGGAGAGGCATTGAGAAAAAAAATCAAAACTGAAGGTTAGCCATCAAGTGGTGCTTGGAGTTTTGGAGGAATGGGGTTTTCGATAAAGCAAAAAATATAAAAAATGGGAAAAATTAAAATAGATTTTTGGAAAAATGGCAAATAAAAAAAAAAAATAAATAAATAATAATAAATAAATAAATAAATAAAAAATTAATAATAAAAACCAATCAAATATTAAATTTATTCCTCAATATTATCAAAAAAAAAAAAAAAGTATTTTAATAAATTGTATTTTAATTTTTTTAGTGAGAAAAATAAAAATTTCCCTTGGTGGGAAATTTTTGTTTATGCCTCAAATTCAAAAATTCTTAGAGATTTGGTTTTATTTTAATGCAGAATATGAAATTTGATGAAAAACAAAAATTTCCCTAAAAATTTCCCAAAAGGGAAAGTTTTATTTTTTTGCATAAAATGCATTTTTTTGTTTTTTTTGTTGTTGTAGTTATTAAAAATGTAAAAATTGTTAAAAAATTGGCAAAAACAAAAATTTCCCTTGGAGGGAAATTTGTATTTTTCACGCAAAAAAATTGAAATCAAAATATTTTAAAAGTACTAACTTTTGTTGATTTTTATGGATAAAAAAAATATGTTTTTATTTGTGTTGGAATATTTTTTTGTATTTTTTAATAAAAAGTATTTTTTTATTTTTAATTATTTTAACTTTTTTTTAATTTTTGCTTTATTTATTTTTACTTCTAAAAATGTCGGAAATGCAAAAAATAGTTGAAAACGTGTGTGGGAATTTTTTTCATAAAATAATTCAAAATTACATTTTGCAATAATTTTTTTTTTAGTTTAAAAAAATATTTTTGTATTTAAATTTTGCTAAAATATCCCCCCAAAAATTTTTCTTGACCATTTTATGTGTTATTATTTTTTTTTCTAATATTATTTTTTTTTTTTTAACTTTTTCACACTTACCTTTTTTATTGTGTATTTTTTGTGGTTTCTCTTAATTTTCCAATTTCATAACAAAATTGAAAACTTGTTTTCTCAATTTTTCCTCTTTTTTGGATTAACAAATTTTGTACACACACTCGAGTAGAGCCAAAAAAATTAAAATCAAAATAATGCCAAAATAAAACAAAATACTGAGTGTGGAATGTTCAAGGTTTTGTTAAATTTTTGATGTGTTTGTGATTTCGAAAAAATTGCACTTGAAAACACTTGTTTCGATTTTTAAAAATTCTTTTTTATAACTTTAGTTATGGTTGATGACTGGTAATCCTCTGCTGGTTTTCTCCAAAATTCTGGGTAATCCAATTAAGTTTTGTTATCACTTGATTTTTTTTTGCTGTTCTCTTTTTGATTGTGAGCAAATAATTTTTCTTTAAATGTATGTTTGTAATGTATATTTTTTTTGTAATAATTCACTTAGATTTAGATTTTTAGTTTTAAGATTCGAATTTGTGAAAAACTGCGACACCGTTGCGTTGTTGCAGATTCGAGAGTTCGAAGTGGAATAAATGTAGTCTGCCAATGCATGCATAAAGTCATTCAGACACGCAGCCAGTTATCACCATTTGAAAAACGCAACGCAGCCAAAGAAAAAACCCTCTCAGAGACCCAAAACAGCAATAACAACAACAATAACAAGAAACGGCACACACAAATCTAATATCTCAAATGTCTGTCCAGTCAACACAACTCCAAGGGCCATGGAAAACAGGGGAAAACTAAATGGGAAAAACAAAAACAAAGCACACACAAGAAATTCAAACAACAACAAAAAACTACGCACTCACACACATCATACTCTCCCTGCTCTCGCTCTCAATGTAACAGGAAAATCTTCTACATTCTACAAATCCATTAACAAAAGGGGAAGTTGTAAAACTGCACATTGAACGCATGCCCTTTACAACAACAGAGTATGGTCACCCAACCAACCAAACGCACACAGGGCATAGCACACACACACACGACTCTTTGCCTATGCTCATTTATGCTCTCACTCACCCTCTCATGGCTTACAAAACTGTGATACTTTATAACAGTTTCTCAAGTCATTCAGTTTCTCATCCTTGCAAAGGGGAATGTGCAAGCCATAGATTTGTTAAGAGTGTTGTGTTGAGAGTGCGTGTGTGTGTGAGAGAAGGAGAGCATGTTTTCTCTTTCTGGTTTAAGCCATGATCATGCACTTTCTCCAACACTCATGTAATGCAGTTTTTTTTGCTTTGTTTTTTATGGAATTTTGTTGTTGTTTTCTTTATAGGCAAACAGAGAGAGATAAGGCCGTTAGATATGTCTCTGAGGGTGTTAGAAAAGGAGGGTGGAGTAAGTAAGTAAAAAAATGTGCATTTCAGACCCACTCACACACGCGTATGTGATTATTGCGTACGAAATGCGTAAAAAAACCTAGGCATATTTTTTTGTTGTTTTTTTCTTGTTTATGTGGTGTGGTTGGTGTTGTGCTGTTATTGCGTCTAAGGGGGGCACCCACATTTGCGCGTAGAGTGCGTTCACACTGTGTAGTTTTTTTTTTATTTTTTTCGTTAGTTCATTGCGTTTTTTTCACCACACACCAATAAGAGTTTTAACTATGTGTGTGTGTATTGTAGATAGGTCTATTATCACAGGCTCGTTGAATGCATGTGGTTGTTGTTTTTGCTGCAGTCATTTTTTGTTATGTGTTTTTTCTTCTATTTTATTGTACAGTCATTTTCTCTATCACAGCATAGTTTTTTTGTGTTGTTTTTTTTTCACATAAAGCCGGTTTATGCAGGTTTTTTTTTTATTGGAACACCAGTAAAAAAAGGGTTTCCGTCATCATAATTTCTTTCTGCTTTTTTGCTGCGTTTGTTGCGTACGATTTTCTCAAACTGGTGTTTCATGGTATATGTGTGTGTGTTGGAATATTGAAGTTAGGTAGGGCCCTAAAAGATGTATGAAAAACATGAATTTTATAATAAAATAATATTCAAAATTAATATTTTTTGTAATTTTTCTTGAACTACCCTTTTTTGAATGCATTTCGGCAATTGCTTTTTTATTTTTTCTATTATTTGTCAATTCATTAGGCAAATTTTTTATAATTTATTCATGATCATTGTTATTGTTGTTTCTCATTTATTGAATTTCTGGTGGTTAGTTTGGCTGGAAGTGCTCTCTAAAATTCATTGTAAAAATAGCTGGAGGGCTTTTTTGTAGTTTGGGGTTTGTTTTGATGAATTTTAAATACTAATCTACAAATGGTGGAAATAAGCAATGAAATGCTGGTAGATTTATTTCAAATTCCTAATGATATTTACTTCCTATTTTTTTTCTTTTTTTATCAGATTATAAACGAATGTATCTTCTTTCTTTCGGAAATTGCAAAAAGTTGTATTGCATTGTCTTTTTTTGCCAAATAGGAAATAGAAATAGAAAATTAAAACAAAAAATATTGGCTTTGTTCCAGATCCTGCAAAAATAAAAACTATTTGGAAAACGTGGTCAAAACTAAAAAGCACTAGAAATCGAAGTTATCCTTACAAGTGCACTATTCCAAAATTGGACATTTTCCGTACCAATGAGTGTGGCACATCCACATCAAAAGATTTCTGTCAAATTTCATAGCTCTATCCTAAATGGTATTTTTTATACCCTAAGCCATATGGCTAGAGAGGGCATAACGGCCAAAATGCGCCTCATGGAAATAACGGTGTTAGACCCTAGGTCTCTTTGGACCAAATCTGTTTCAGGACATTTTGAGTCGATCTGGCGATGTCCGTCCGTCCGTCTGTCTGGCTGGCTGGTGCGCACGATAACTCTCGAAGGGAGTATTCGATTTGATCCAAACTTGGTACATCGTAATATTATTGTCAAAATTAGATCGAGTTCGGAGATGGGCAATATAGGTCGTCCATTCCTTCTGGTATCTCCCCCACAATGAGTCAATATTTTGAATCCGATTACATTCAGACTTGACAAATATCTATATTTCTATCAACACAAGATATGTTACAAAGATGGTTGAGATCGGGCCATTCCTTCTGGTACCTCGCCCACAAAGGGTCAAAATTTTGAATAAACAAAACAATTATAAAATCCGAAATAAGCATCCCATTAACTTCATATTTCACACATCATTATATTTTTATTTACACAAAGTCTGGTGTAAAGATGGGATATATCGATCCACTCCTTCTGGTACCTCCCCCACAAAGGGTTAAAATTCTGAATGTTCACGAAGTTAGAAAAAACTCAAAATTAACATCCGATTCCATTCAGACTTGGTACATCTTAATATTTTCATTAACACAAGATATGCTACAAAGATGGTAGAGATTGGATCATTGCTTCTGGTACTTGCCCCACATAGAATTCAAGATTTTGAAAAACAAAACGCTCAATGAAGGCGAAATAAGCTTTCAACTCTCTTCAAATTTCACACATACAAACAATTTTGCTAACACAAGATATGTTGTGAAGATGATATATATCTGCGAACCCCTTCTGGTACCTCACCCACAAAGGGTTACAATTTTCAATACTTTTATCTGTCATAACTTGCGAAACAAGTCGGCGACTCTTTACAACTTGCTATATCTAAGTATTTCTCTTAATCAGAAATCTGATATGAATATGGAATTTATCGGAATTTCTGATTTGGCATAAAATTGGATATAAAAGTTCGATTTCCTTCAAATTTTGAACGTATTAGATGAAGTATGTACCTGTATTAGATGAAGTATGAAAATTTAATACTTCGGTCCGCTATATGTGTTACCTCACGCATTTTTCCACATTTTCCAAAAATGTGCACCTATATCATATAAAGTATAGGAAGTAGTAGATATAGTCCAAATCTGGCACGTTGTAATATTTATATCAGTTTTAGTTTACATACTAATTGGTAAATACTGGCCAACTGCTTCGCAGCCTCCCTCATAAATATTTGAATTATAACTCAAGGCTGGGGGTATACATTTGTCGGCAAAATCGACTGACACTATTTTACTTGTTTTTTTTTTGGGAAAATCGATGCAAATATTTTTTTTTTGATATACCGTGGAAATATAAACTTAAATATATAAATATATCTGATTTAAAACTATTAGATATCTGTCAGTTGTTAGATGCACGAATTTAGATTTAGAATTCAAAGAGGTGCACATTGGACTCCTGGTCCCACCAGGTGATTATTTATTGTAAAACATGCATAAAAACTAATTTTGAAATAATTATTCAAAAACATTAATTTCTTTCATTTCGATTTTTGTTCCATATGCCCCGCGTTGGGCGCCATGTAAAAAAGTCTGCCCAAAAATTGGTGGTATGTTTTCGAAGAAATAGATCTTCTTTTCTTCTTTTTAAGAAGGTATTTTAAAGGTATCCTAATGTGATTAAAAAAAACTTAATATGGCGCCCAACGAAGGGCATAGATAAATAAAAAATAATATTAAAAAATACCATCATAGTATGGAGGGTGTATAAGGTTTTTTATTCCGTTTGTGTATATTCTTCATCAACATACAATTCTGTATCGGGTTACCGATGTCCATCGATTTACAATTATTGTTTTCTATGCTCAGCTGCATTGCAATTTTAACCCTTTACCTAATACTCTGTCTCTATAGATTTTGATGTCTTAAAGTAGGGTTTAAGGTAAGGAACAACTAATTTGCATAAAAATGCAACATTTTTGACATGTTTTTGTAAAATTTGCATAAATTATTGCTAATTTGTATCCCCTTTCATGTGCCAATATGGCAAGACACCGAAATCTTTATTGAGCTCTAGGAATATAAGAAGAGAAAGAAAAAATGTTTATAGTTTTCGGGAACAGGTATTTTAAAAAAATCAAGGGTGGAACCTGTCACAACAATAAAGTACCTCGTGAAGAAAAAAAATTGAAAAAAGGCAGTTGCTGGACAGCAAGGTATAATGTTTTTGAATTTTGAAATATCAGTTTCCCACAAAATAATTTCGAGCGAGATTACCGAAACATAATTTTTGCGGCCAAAAATTGCAAAGTCATAAAAATGTTACTCAATTCAAGCTATAAAAGTCTCTTTGCATCAATATAGTCAAATATTATTCGAAGAATTATAATATAAATTCAGAAATAATATCGAAATTTAAATTAACTTTAGAGATTTTGAAAATTTGGAATATTTTTTTGCAGAACTATTCGATGATTGAAGTCTATGTTCTAATATATCACCTCACATGGAAATGTAACGTATATTTTTGCATAGATTTCTTTTACCCATCATCCATCAATTTCCATAGGAATACCCCTTTTCCTCAGACACTCCTTCAGGCAAATTTCTCCTCCCAGCTGCCTTCTTATTTTAACGACATTTCAAATTTTCTATCTTCGATTATTTAATGTCTTAAAGTTGGGTTTTCGGCAAAATCCCACAAATTTGCATAAGAATGCAAAATTCTTGACATGTTTTCCGAAATTTTGCATAAATTATGTTAGGCAAAAAATTAATCCTCCCAACCCCTTCTTATGCTGTGGCAAGAAGATACCGATGACAATTTTT